AAAAGAAGTATCGACTTTTCGATCCGAAGTCAAACTTTTTCCTCAAAGGGAAGCGAAGACATAGTAATATCTAATTATCTGGTTTATATTTTAAATTGTAAAAAAAGTTTCATAAATTCAAAACAGGGTACTCTTGATTATTGCTTCAATACTTGATATAAATTAAAGGGTAGGTCAACCGTGAGGTATCTGCAGTTACTCGTCTGATCATAATTGTGTTCTTCGTTTAGCTTCTTCCTTGATCATTTCTTGTTGAATATGCATTGGTAGACCAGGATTCAGACTCAAAGCATAGGGCAATAATGTTTTGGGTATGTCTTCAAAATCAACCATAATTTTGATAAACATTGTGTCGTCTCTTACATATGGATTTCCCTCCTGTTGAATCGCTTCCAATGGGAAAAATTTCGGTATACCACTAGCTATATTCATTTCCAAACGAGGTCGCTGAAAACTACTTGATTTAATGTCTGGTCGAAATGAATCAATAATATGTCGTTGTGCAGACGTTTGATCGTACAAACAAAATGTGACTTTATATTTGAATGGAAATTTGAGAATTGGATCATTTAAACTTCGCATAAGCACAAAAAAGAGTGAAATATGTGTTCGACGAGCATTTCCATCACCATTTAAATAAAGACGAGCTCTCATTTTATAACCATTTGGAGATGAATAAAATGGAGGTGAATAAATTGATGTTTGTCTTTCAGACTGTGCATCAACTAGAAATTAAGCAAAAACACTCATCAGCATAGTCTCTTTGAGACTAATATATGGAACTCACATGCCTTCTTCAGCTTCGTGTTATACTCATACAAAATAGGTTAAATGAAAACTATCTAATAGGTTATAGTGATTTCCCAAGAATAATCGATTACCAGGAAAACGATTTACTTTATTTATTTCTGCGTTTCGAAGAAATTTTTTACTCGTGTTCTATTTTTAATTTATTTTATTTCTATTCGCTCGTTATTTATTTTCTTTTTTTCTGCTTCGTTTTTTTTAAAATTAATATTATGTTTATTCTAGCTATTCATTTAAACGATATATAAGCCTATTGTACACATCTATTATATATACAATATGTTTCAGCATGCTACTATGTATGTTACCAACCTCAAGAACCTAGTATTAAATATATCCCGAAAGCTACAACTTGATTGATTCATACTTTTAGTGTCGATCATATGATACCTTGACAAATCTAAACATCACTAGTCATCATCTATGATATCTTAAATATAATTGGTGATCTGCATAAAAACCAAAATCTGTGCTATTCAGGAATGCAGTTCAGCAGATTTGTTTACATTGCCCAGGACTGATAAAGAAGAAATCTGATACCTGTTGTCCTTGTTTGCTATGGAAACGTATACTCATTGACAAAGATCTCGCTTACTAAAGCCTATTGCGAACATCTTTATCAGCGCTACGATGACTATCAGCGGCGTTAAAATCATCGATCTACATCCTCACTGTTATCCTTTGATCCGGCTTATTATGGAAGAGGTGGACGAGGCGAAAAACTGGTTTGATAACTGACACTCACTATTTTCCTTTATCAAGTATGTGACTTCTACAAAAAAAGAAAACTTGAAGAACAAAAGCAAGTATAAAGAAATTTAGCTGATCGACAGCATTGATCAATCATTTCGTCAATTCATCAATAGATTACTCATATATCGTATCCGTATATGATGATATATTGTGCTGAATGTCTTTGATTATCTTTTTGATAACATATTCTATTTTTATCATTGAAGATAAGAGTAACTGTTCGTCTTACTCATTTTCTCTCGAAAGTTTGTTATTTTCCAAACTAATGATCCATCATATGAAACATACTGCAAATCATTAATTTTTTCTTGTAATGATACTAAATCTTGATTGAGAATGTCTTGATTACATTTGACTCCCTCGAAAAAAGCGTTTGACTCTTCAATAGATAATTTAACTTTCGATAATTCTTCTGTCAATGTTGGAAGTATCATTTGCATTTGAAGTGACTCATTGACTAAATGTTGTTCATCATTGTTCAATGTCTCGATACCACTTACCAAGATATTGAGCATTTCATAAAGCTCTTCTAATTGAGCTGTAGCAGGATTTAAAGCTCCTGCTGTTGTTGTTCGAGGAAGATCAATATCCGTTTGTCTGTCGTTCAATTGCGGTAACATGTGACGAACAACTTTGAGTAGAGCATGTTGATGTTGTTCAGTTAAATAATGATCTTTCATTTTAACACGAATAATCTAAAGAACATGACTTTTCCAATATCAATTTCATCTAGAGAATATTCATACTCGTTCATTACAACCAAAATCTTTCAATATACAGTCAACAATCAGTTGTTGACATTCGAAGACTTTATGTTCATTGAATGTGTTAACTGAATTGAACTGTTCGCTACAATATTCACATTTGACATTTGAATGAGACTGATCGAGATGTCCCTTTGGAAGAAAAAAGGAAAAAACATTCAAGAATAAAACAAATATATCATAAATTACTTGATAGTTATTTAAGACACCAGTCCATTGGCAAAAAGAACAATCAATGACTAGAGATTTCATATCATTTTTGAAGCCTCGATCGAGCTGTATCTAGACAAAATAAATATTATTTTCTCTTTAATTAGGCAAAGATATCTTACTACCAACGACAAAACGACTGCGAATCGTGTTTTTGATCTAAAATATAGAATTTGAGATCAGAAGAAATTTTCTTAGATTTATATGAATAGTACAAGTGTAGACGTCTATAATACAAATAAAAGTGTAATATAAAGATACAATATGTTGATATACTTTCTGAGTGTTTGTAATACATGCTTGAATAACATTTAATGATAGACTGTTGTAAGCTTCATTGACCACATTCTCTAGCTTATAGTATAATATTGAGCTATGTCAATAGACAGATAATAGTCCTGATTTTAACGCTATTGAACTGATCTGGAAAATTATTAAATAGAAAATTAAAAACAAGGATCCAAAGTCACAACGCAAACTAGAATATGTGGTAGATGAAGCTTGTAATAGTCTACCGTTAAATGTTATTCGAGCATGTATTAGAGAGACTCAGAAAGTATATCAACACTTTGTATCTTCATACTAAACTTTTATTTGCATTATTAATGGCTACACTTGCATTATTCATATATATCCAAGAAAACTTCTTCTGACCTTAAACTCTATGTTTTAGATCAAAAACACGATTCGCAATCGTTCTATCGTTGGTAATTACATCGCTTCGTAATGTTTCTGATTGACATTGTCGACATTTAATTGTCGTTCTTGAGAAAGAACACTAAAGAATAATACTTCAAACTGATAATGAAACATACGCTTGTTCAGCATTGAAACATGTTTGGCAATATCGATGGCCACATTCAATCAGTTGTATCGGATCTCGTAATATCAATGAACACACAGAACAGATATGTTTTATATCAAGAATATGTTTATTTCTTGCATCGATGCCTACCATGTTTTTAATTTAATTAATATGAAACGAACGGTGAATGTTAGTTAGATATGAAATTAGTTTTCTTCTATCTAAATGATTTTGTTTTGTTGTGTGTTTTTCGTTGATCAAAATATAAATAGAAAAAGTTTTCAGAAATGTTAAAGCGATCTAATAAATAGATTACCTTTTCGACAAATGAACAAAATATTTTTTTTGAAATCAAGTGTGTAATAAATAATTTATCTAGAATTCACACATTAGCATTAAAATACGAGAAGGATTTCAAATATTCAAAATAGAAAATAGTAACGGGTACGGTATGGGTCTATTCACTACTATTTGATCAGGCCTTGAGTCGGGGTGTGGGTGTGGGTGTGAGGTGTGGGGTGTGTGTGTGAGGTGTGGGGTGTGGGGTGTGGGCGTGAGGGTGTGGGCGGGTGTGGGTATGGATGTGGATGTGGGTGGCTGTGGGTGTGGGTACGGAATGTGGGTGTGAGTGTGTGGGTGTGGATGTGGATGTGGATGTGGATGTGAGTGAATACGAGCTCTACACCCACACCCACACCCATTTTCTGCTGTCGGTTTGGCAGTTGGAGAATGTCGTTCTTCTCTTGATTATAACACGGTGAACAATATTCTTTCTTATCGAATCCGTCCAACGTGACCTTTCACAAAAGCGAGACTTTTTTCATAACGTTACTTTGTATCTATTGGTTTGCTTTTTTTCAATATGAAAGCTATCCAAATAATGAATGATTAATCTAGTGATCTTAAAGTATTCAAATGACAAATTTCACTCTAGATAAACAAATAGTTACTTGCACCCTATTAGCATTATTATTATCATTATTATTATACTGGTAAAAAAGGAATAAACGGGCAACCAGATCTGACTTATAGAAAGTCAGCCTGACAGACCTTTCATCGGCACCAGTTTCTCATGTCTTGACCTGAAATGAAAACGATCAATACTAAGTTCAGAATGGTAGAATGAATCTTGTTTATTTAGACAAAAAAAAGAAGAATGAACAATGCAATGACGAAAAGAAAAAAATGTGAAGGAATATAGTGAGTTGAATCTAAAGATAGGAAAAGCTCCGCAATGTTCGTGAACAAGCTCCTCGAGTCGTCATCATTTATGGTCGCTATAAGAATGTCCACAGGTGCCGCATGCGCTGTTTCCTGGTTGCCAATTCCACCATCCTTGACAACTGCATTTCGAGCATGCACCGGTTCCTTCCTGGACTTCCTCGGCCATCGTTTTTCTCTAAAAAGCACCACGTAAATCAAAGTTCTGTTCCTAATGATATAGACACGCTTGGTGTGTACAACTTACTGTTTCAAAGTTTTAATTAGAGCTTTTTTCTTCTACACAATAGTTTTCAAAATGAGTGCAAAGAGCAAAAGTCTGCGACATTTATACGCTTCTCTCCTTCTGTTATAGCACTTTAAAAAAATAGAGTGGAGAGTAATAAAAAATATGTCTTCGTTTACTACTATTACAGAAGCTTTTTCAAGTTTATGATCATAAGCTGTCTCTTCATAAATCATTTGTTTTTTCACAAGCCTGGGTAAGGGTTTGTTATACGGTGCAGATATATATATATATATATATACCCTTGAAGTTTTATCTACGTTCCGAAATCCTTATGGGATATTTGGATAGAATAAACGCTTAGATAAGGCCTTGCCGTCACATGCTTAGAATTCTTCACCTAAGGTTTTTTTTCCATATAGATACCCAACAAAAGTGTATACATTTGCAACGTTTAGGAAATCTTGCCAAGGTTTAAAAAATAAGGATTTATGACCAGGTAGATTGTGACTATAAACTCTAAAGAAATTTACTCAGTGATGATAAATAGTAACTGAAGATTTATTATCAGCCACTTCTTTTTACAATGTTCTCCTTGTTGCATTAATACTTTTTGTTTCGTCCGCTAGGGGTGTCGCGTGCCCGCTCCGTTCCTAGGAACAAGGAACACACAACACTATTACATACAAAATTGAGCAAATATGTATAAACACCTCGGGACGTTTGAAATAAGTTATAAAACGCGGTTTGAGATGCGCTCCTGCTCCTTAGGAGCGGCACGCTAGGAAACAGGGAACGCGACACCCCTATCTGTCAGGCAGCATGGAGAAGTTTTCTTGAAGTTCTTTTTTAGAGATCACCACACCATTGACACTACTATTAGCGTGTCATAAGTAAATATGTTCGCACAAAATGTATAACTCAATAGGCCCAGCCATCGGTGCTCATGGGCCGATTGCTTTAAGTGCTCCCATGAGCTGAACTAGGGTGCTTTTGGGGAAAAAACCATAGTGCGCTGACTCAATGCTCGAAACAACCACGGGTTATCTTTTCTAGGTCTGACTTAGCTCATTCGGACTTTTGATCAGAATCCACAGATCCGAGGATCCAAAATCCGTTTTTCCTCCTTGGTAAAGATCCTTTATAAAATCTCACGATGATAAATCATGAGAATGCAGCAAACTAATGGCTAGAAAGAATATATTTCGGTGTTCTGTTTCAAGTTGCATTCAAGTCGAAGGTTATTTTGAGAATCGTGTAAGAAAGTATATTTTATTGGACCTGATTTATAGATAAACTATTGAAAAAAAGTTATCTCCCTATCTACTAATTCTTTCTAAATACTCAATACCCGAAATCTAACTGTAGCTTGAACGCAAATTAGAAGTATTGACTATCTAGACCGCCTGTGATATGTTTAAGTGTAAAACGAAATACACGGATGAAGAAACTTTCCACTTCCATAAGTCCGTCCCTTGTACAATACAATGTCTGTCATATTAACAAGATTATAAGGCAACACTTACCAGTTAACAACTAATTGAGTGGTAAAATGATCGAAATAGATATTGTAATATGGTGAAACCACTTTACAACTTTGTAATAATATTTTATCTGAAATACACAAATTTACCGACGCTCTAAATCTTTCTCCAACGGTATAACCAACGTTCATCTGAGTATTTAGAGTAAGAATACAATACAAGACCTATGTAGTTAGTAATAAAGACAGAGCGAAAAAGTCTAACACTACCATTTTTCATCGGATAATTCTTTTCCTAATTAACTTCTTTGTCATCCTAGCGCTAAGAATTCAAGAGTAGCAACAATATCGAACAGTATATCTAACGTAAAGGAAATTGCGAAAACTATCCATTTCTGACATAAAAACGTAGGACGAAATATCGACCATGTAGAAAACTATCTAGTGCGAAAAACATGTCCTAAGATTTCAAAAGGAAAAGGCTTTTCATTCAACATATATGTTATTAATTTTGTCAGATGACGTTAAAGAAGTACAAGAATAAATACATGCATGCGTTACCTCTTTTATACAGCCACCAACAAGATATCTATAGTTGATAATAATTCGACTGTTATCTTTCGGAAGTTTTTTATTGACTCAGACAAATAGAATTATGTTGTTATTTGTTTTTCCCACTAACTAAACAAACTATTATATATGTTTTTCTCACTGACAACAGATAGCAATTGCATTGCTTTTGTCTCCACTAACAAATGATAACAATATCAAATACAACCTTTCCATGTAAAAACCAAACGTGGATCGGACGCATTTATTCCTCAAAATATTTACATGGTTTAAACCCCTCCCCATAATAGAAGCCCCCTTCTGGGGAATTAAGATGAAAGATGTATTAGAAGTCTCCTCTATTTTAAAAACTTTTTGAAAACTTTTATTGGTATTTTCACCGTCAAACCGTCAAATTTCAAGGTTTTATGATTAGAATTTCATTGATTTTCTCATTTCCCAGCGTAAAAATCTCGACACCTTTGGAGAGTCGTCTGAAAAAAATTTTAAAAACTCAAAATTCTTTGGAATTTTTTAATCCCTGAAAAACATTAAAAACTTAAGGACTTAATAGAAGTCCCCTCCGAAGTTTTAGACGGTGAACAGTTTAGAAACCCCCGGATGCTTCTAATATGAAAATGGGTTTACATCATACGGACATTTCAGTAATTTTTTTCACTCATTCTTACGTGTCCTTGTGCTTGTCCGCCTTCCTCTATTCACTTTTATGCTTATCCAGTGCAAATAAAACACCAACATGATATAAATAGAACTTCTCAGTTAGTCATCGACATGTCGTGTCATTCTCATAGGTGTAGAGATAAAAAGCAAGTTGGAAACGGGGAAAAAAGAAAGAAAAGTACCAGGTAACACAAAACTCACTATAAGGAAACAAAAGCTGTTAGAGCAGTTTCCATGCATTAAAGTGTCAAACACAATCGAACTTTTTACTCATATTGTAAATGAGAACATATTATAATATCTGTGATGTATCGGTCAGAATGTCGGTGGTAGATTGTCAAACCTACGTGTAGCAAAAAACGCATTGGAGCTCTCCGAGTTATTAGAATCAAATGGTTCAAAATAACCCTTTTCCTCTGGTAGAATTTGTAGATGAAAAATTGCGCGGCTAGGGCACAGCGAAAGTAAATAAAGAGCATGAGAAAAACGTTTTTGAGCAGTGTTCTTAGTATCTAGTAAACATGCGTTTCGTAGCGCCCTTAATAAGCTTCCAAAAGAACTATTACTCAATTATTTTGTGAATCCTGCGACTTAGAAAATTAGATTCAAAAAAAGTTGTAGTTCGGTTGCCTACTTTCGGAAGAGGGACAAGTGCAAAGTTTTACTTCTGTACACTTCAACAGCTGTTCTACATTGTATTGTGAAGGAGTTATGGAATACTAGCAGAAGTGCCCCACGATGCTCGGGAAAACTTACTATTGTATGCTTGACATATTCGAAAAAAACGATGCACTTGTGGTTTCCTTTAAGCTATCAATCTTAGATATCCAAAAATATGCTCTCATTCCTTTTCTTTTTCAGCTTTTTTCACTTCTGGTTCTGGGTTTAAATTTTATCGCTCTGATAAATCCTTTTGCTAAGCGCCTTGAATTTAGATCCGTATGAGCCAGTCTCTTTCAGTCTCCGCAAAAAATATTCTGTTCTCCACCTGCTCCTGATCGTAAGAAAAGATTTCGTCCCGGTTCCAGTCTCAGAGCCACTTTACCTATCTCTACCAGCAGCTACCGGGACTTATTTTTTCGGGATTTATTGAGATTTTTTAATAAGCCCGTAAGCACTTTGAGATAAATCCCATACAGTTCCTCGCTACATACAGAATGTGGATGAGGGTGTGGGTGTGGGTGTGAGTATGGGTGTGGGTGTGGGTGTGAGTATGAGTGTGGGTGTGGGTGTGGGTGTGGGTGTGAGTGTGGGTGTGGGTGTGGGTGTGAGTGTGAGTGTGAGTGTGAGTGTGGGTGTGGGTGTTGATGTAAGTATACTGGGATAGCATCAATATTAATATATCAGAATAAATCCTCAATAAAGAAATAAGTCCGCTAGAAAGAATAAATCCCGAAAAAATAAGTTCCCGTAGTCCCTCGACGAAGAAGCAAAAATATATCGAATTAATATCTTACGGTAAAGGCAATCTATTTATATCTATCTCGTGCTAATGTTTTTTTAAAGTTTACCAAATAGACATTGCACCTTAAATCCAGTAGAGTTGGCTTGGGCCAATATGAAAACATACGTATGTGATAGAAACACGAAGTATACCTTGGCTGAAGTGAACAAATTGGCACAAGAATGGATAGATAATTTAGATGCGACGGAAGCAACCACTTATGTCAATCACGTTAAACAATGTGAGGCGACATTCAAGAAAGCCGATATGTTTACTGAAAGAATTGCAGAAGAATTAAATGATGATGACGACGAAGATGAATATAGTGTTTATAGTGCAGATACAGATGATGATGATGATGGTGATGATAAATGATCTGTATGCTAATTTTGAGTAAACATTTTGACATTCTTTTTGAATTGATGGATTTGGATTCAAGACATTTTTTCAATGAAAACAGAAAAAGTTCATCAATAAAACTAACTAAAGATATTGGTTCACTATCATCAAAAACTATATTTTGAGTTTGTTTTAATATTATTCTAATTAAAAAAAAAGACTCTAAAGGTTAATAATCATGTCAGGAAATAAAAGATAACAAAACTTTACAGAACAAAATATTTTTTATTCGCTTAAATTTTGGAAAAAATCTGATCACTAGCCTTCAGTAAAACCTTTGTATTTTTGAAACGTAAAC